TAACTTGCATTGTAGACTCAAAAAGTATTGAGTAATTAGCATCTCACCACAGTAATCTCATTTCCCAAATGCTGGAATCTGAACTTTCTTCATTATGTTGTAGATATTATGCTTGAGACCTTATCAATTTTTCCTTTTTAAAGGGGAAAGACAAACAATTATGACCATCTAAGAGCAATACGAGATAAGTATGTGCAATATGAGATGGAAACAAACAATTACCAACAAATACAAATATGCTAGTAAGCTGTCTAGAACTAAAACCCACGATGATCATCCAAGAGCAAAGTCACCTTTGCCTCTAATTTATATTTGTCTAATTCTATAGGCAATCTAAGTTGTAATAAAATAAGTCAAAAGAACTTAAAATGAAGATACATCATAAAACCATAATGATTGTAAATTACTTCTTCTCGTTGGAATCAAGTTCACTATAGTAAAAATAAACATAAAAAAAGATAATTTTTTAATTATTATAATTTATCTTAATAATATTACATATAAATTAAACTGAATAGGTAAAGAAGAATTATAGTTTGAAGAAAATATATCTCCAATCTCGTGAAACTATTTAGCTAATAAATAAAAAAAATAAGCCATTTTATTTCACTCATGGACGATGTTCCTCTATCATCAAAATTTCATACTTTTGATAGTTAACAAGTAGTAAGTTCAATCAACAATAGGAATGATGATGATGGTGATTGCTACAAACATAATTCAAGAAAAATAAGATAATAATAATAATAATAATAATAATAATAATAATAATAATAATAATAATAATAATAATAATAATAATAATAATCAAAATAATAATAATAATAATAATAATAATAATAATAATAATAATAATAATAATAATAATAATAATAATAATAATAATAATAAATAGTAGTAACAACAATAACAATAATAACAATACAAAATAATTCATAAGATTAGTAATTTATAATATGACAAGCATCTTTTGGCCATCAATATTGTATTTCAACTAGTACAAATTTGTGATGAATCTTACCCTTAGTAGGAGGAGCCATCTCCAAATTTGAATATGATTTACTAGTAAATTCTATTAGACCCTAGGGGGGGTGATTAGGGTCTTATGGTAATCTAATCCGATTTTATACCAATTTAAAACTAATTAACAAGTTATCCTAGTAAGTATAAAATACAACAAGATATGTGAGCTAGGATAAGTAATATACATAAGGGTAAACAAATTAAACAAGATAGTGGATGATATAAATAACGAGCAATAGACAAATATGATATAAAATATGAACACAAGATAAGTGCACCAATGCAATCACAAACAAACAATATGATCACGGAGTTTGGTCCCTACGACCTACGTCTCCGCTCCTCACCTCGAGGAGATCCCCACTATCACAACCGAGTTTTCTACGCTTACCCGAATAACGTTTACACCACACAATATCGGTTTTCAACGCTCACCGATCAATGATCACAATCTCACAATGTAACTACACTCTACACTCTCTAAGTGTTAGTCTCTAGTCCGTGTTCTTCCTCAAGTGCTCGGATACAACCTCTCCCTAGGTTCGTCAACCGACGCCACTTCTCTTGGAAGAGACCCCGTCTCTTACCACACACTCCTCTCAGTGTACTAGTGTAATACAGAGTGATCTACACAATTAGGCATGAATACAACAATGGTTGTTCTCTACAATAGACGAGAACTCAATTAAGCTCACTCTTAATTGTTACAACTCCCTACAACCCAATTATACAATGCATGCAAATACAATAAGCTCAATGGTTGTGTGTGTAAGCAATGAGAAAATCAATCATAAACTGAATATAAACCCTAGCTTGATAAAAATGATAAACAATAAATAATTAATATAAAGCTAGTATTGAGTTTAAAAATTCTTCTCTGAAGAAACAAGATGGAGAGATGGATTAAAATGAAGCTCAAACAATGTAGATGATCTCCTCCACTTGTAAGAAACTTCTTCACAAATAAACTCTTTTAAAACACACTAAAAAAACTTTAAAACCCTTGTTAAACTTGTTTAAAACATTTATTGGATACTTATGAAAGATGAGAGCAAGGGCCACCCAAAACCTCAACAAAAACCACAAAGAATTGACCAAAAAGCCCACAGAAAAACAGCTCAGAAAATAGCCGTTAGAAGCCAACGGTCATATCGGCGGTCGACTGCAGAATTCGCGTGGTCGTGGTCGACCGCGAGCAGCAGAAAAATAGAGGAATGGCTCTGGACTTCATCCGGTCGACTGCACTATAGCGCGATCGACCGCACTGTAGTCCGGTCGACTGTGAAAACTGACAGTTTCTGAAATCTGGAAATCTACGTATCTATCTTTATAAAATCAATTAAAAATAGTAAATCAACTACAAAAATTATGAAATTTTGATAAAAAGTTTTATATATGTAGATAAACATGTTAAAGAAAGAATTTCTAAAATATAATTTCCCAGTTGAGAGAAATAAATATTTGAACACATATATACAGTTTCTAAAAAACTGCTAAAAACTCGATTTTGTAAATTCAATTGAAAATAACAAAACAACTCCAAAATTAGTAAAACTTGGGAAAATGTTTGTATATATGAAGATAAATATGTAAACGAAGAAATTTTTTAAATTGCAATTTCTAATTATGAAAACTCATCTGTTTTACAAAAACATGTACGAACATGTGTACGAACATGAACTTATTTAAAACTTGATTTTGTAAATTTAATTAAACATAACGAATTAATTCCAAAATTGATAAAACTTTTAAAAACATTTATAAATATGAAATTAAACATGTTAGAAAAATAATTTCTTAAATTAAATTTCCCATTTGTGAAAACTCATGTATTTTATAAAACTTATAAATACATGTGTACATAAACTTCTTGATTTTTAACTATTGAGTTAAACAATGTTTTGAAACCTTATAAAATGATTTTATAGACTTAATAGAATATGTATATAATGGTTGTTAAGTCCAAAAACCAAAAACTTAATATTTTGTCAAAATTACTCAAAATCAAGAATTGTGTGTATGTGTGATATTGAGCTCAAAGTATTAACACACAAGTATAAATCCTAAACTAATTTACCCAAGCTAGATTGGTCTTCAATATGCTTGACTTGGTAAACTCGCGGATGAAGCTTGAACTTGAATCTTTAACTTGGATTTGCATAGTTTCACTTCACTATTCCGCCAACCTCCATTGGATATGATCGTGAATGCTTGATTCCATCCATCCTCTAACATGTTGTTTGTCTACAATAAATAGAAAACCACAAACACTAGACAAACAACATTAATCGTAAATTGTTTGTTAAACATCATCAAAACAAGAAGGCCAACAAATTCAACATAACAAGCAATAATTAGTAGCCGTTACAAACATAAACCCTAATTCATAAGATTTGGGGATCTGGCGATTTGCAACCAGTCGAGGGCGATGGTGTGGAAGAGAGCAACGGAATTGGGGATTTGGCGAGTTGCATCGAAGATGTTGACTTCGATGAACCAATCTATCAAATAACAAAAACCCATCAAACAAATCCCCTAACAAATATGAAACATCAAAAATATCAGAGCTTGGCTAAGCCCTTCCATCAATAGTTGTAGGCAGTGACAGGAGTTTGAGGAGAAGGTTGGAGGAGCTACGGTGACCGGAGTTCAAGAGCAGCGGTGAGAGATCTTTAGGCAGTGGGAGATCTGAAGCGACAATGTTCGCTAGAGTTTTTTTAGGGTTCAAGTAGTAGAGACTGTAGTAGTGGGTGTTGAAGGAAGTGATGAAAATGAAGATGCTAGAGGAGATAATGGATGATGCCGGAGTTGGAGGATTTGGGACCGAAGGCAAATGTGGGGCATTTAAGGGGGAGGGGAGGAGAAGAGAGAGGGGACAAGTATTATTTTTTTCGTTTTAGTCAAAATATTAGTGTGAAAATTCCCTCCTATTAGTTAGGTCAAAATTCATTCCCCTACCTAAATTTTTTCGTGTGGGACTCACTATCCTAGACGGAAATTTTCCATCTAGGATGTATCCTAGATGAAAAATTTCTGTCTAGGACGGTCTTCCATCTAGATTGTCAATCTAGACGGAATTTTCCGTCTACGTTGACTCGCCCTAGATGAAAAATTTTTCGTCTAGGTTGGGTCAAACTAGATGGAAAAAATTCTGCCTAGGTTAATCCATCTAAATTGCTTGATTTTCTACTAGTTATTACGGAAAGTTATAACTTAGAGGAATAAGAAGAGAGCAAATACTTCTCAGCTTTGTTTGGTAATTTGTATAAAACTAGGCTAGATTTGAACCAGTGAAGAGGCGATTCAGATTAGAACCAGTTTAGCTGTTCATTTTTGGTCCGAGAAGAACCGAGCCAGCTTTAGCGGAATTTTTCCCGGTCAAGATTCTCCTCAAAATTAAACCAATTTTAAACATGATACAATTTTGAGAGCGAGCCAAATTAGCCTTTATGACGTGAGCCCACATGAATGTCTAATAAAATTTTGTATGGGAGAAAGAAAATTGTGCTAGCACCACTACTGATATAAAAAAAACTTCTCGATTTGTACATTAATTTAAGGGTAAGTTACACTAAACCCCAAGAGCTTTTAGTATTTTTAGTAAACCACAAGAACTTTCAAATCACAATAAACCCCTAAAAACTTTTGAACTACAAAAAATCCCTAATAGTTGTTATGTTTTGCAGATGAACCCCATAAAATTAGAACATAAAAGATATTTTGGAAGTTATTAGGGGGTTAGTGTAATTTATCCAAAATATATTAAGGGTTTTTTTAAAAAAAACTTATCGAGTGGCTCAGTGTGATTTTGAAAGCTATTTGGGCTTTACTGAAAAATGCTGAAAGTTCTTGGGAATCTAGTGTAAATTACCCTTAATTTAATATTTTCTACACATTCATTGTACTTGTCAAAATGTCATACTTGTTTTAAGCTAAAATTTTCTTGTCGTGGAAATTCCTGCCTAATATTAGTAGCTCCCTTTGACACAAAGTTATCCCTGAAAACAACATCATTACCACCTTAAACGGCTTCAAAACACACGCGCTGGTCACCTTCCCATTTTCATGGATTCCTTCTCCTTATTCGACTCATTTGGATTATTTTCAGAAACAAGTATTCCTCAGATCTGCATCTCCTTCTGAATGAGCTCACCCTTTTCATCAATAAATCCTAAAATCTCATCCCAATACCAATCAAGGTACGATTCAAATCTCGGTGTTCTCGATACCTCTTGCCCATTTTGGGCACTACCCATTCATATTAGTTGAATGGATCTCTTTTTCAAATTGTCCATTTGAAGAATGTGGTGTTGGTGTTAGAACTAGATGCAAATCTCTCGGGATTAGATTTAGAAGACCCACAAACCAAAACCCTTTATTTTGGGTCTAATTTTCGATCCCCAAAAGGATGTTGCCAAGGGTTGCATCAGCTGAGGATGCTAAGGATTTGACCCAAAGAACGCAGCCTAGAGTTTCCCCGTTCAGAGCCCTGAAAACCCTAATGCTGTTCCTCGTTCTGGGAGTTGGGTTTTCATTGTTCAGCCTCTACATGACCAGACACCTCACAGTTCAGAACATGGTGATGCAAGCTCGGTCGACTTTCCAGTCTTGCTTCGAGGAGCAGCAGGTGACTCTTGAGAGATGGGTTAGGCCGCCCTCGAGCTTGATGCACTCGATGAGCGATGAGGAGTTGCTTTGGAGGGCTTCATTTGTTCCTCAGGTGAAGGAGTATCCATATAACAGGGTTCCCAAGATAGCTTTCATGTATTTAACTCGTGGGCCTCTGCCGCTTTCGCCTCTCTGGGAGAAATTTTACAGGGGAAATGAAGGCCTTTACTCTATTTACATTCATGCATTGCCGTCTTATGTCGCCAATTTCTCATCAGATTCTGTGTTCTACCAGAGGCAGATCCCGAGTCAGGTACCATTCGGTTTCTTTATCTACTTGTAAATTTTGTGAAGTGCCAATGGTGTTAAGCAATTAACTTATAAAACCTAGTAAACATTTCAGTTTGATATATTTTGATGTTGCTTGAATCATCTGAGGTTAAGGTGAGGAATGCATTATCGTTCTTGAAGCCTTTCATTTAACTTAGTCGGTTCTAGTCCTTACACGGTTGAACCTCTAGTCTATGTCTAAAGATTTATCTATGTATTTTCCGCCATACATATGACCTTTATGGGTTTGAATGGAGTGCGCCTAGTTACCGTTTTTTGTGTTTGTTAACTCAATGACATGGACATGAACACTGATAATTTTTATATGATGGATTAAATATCTGTATTTAGTAAAAAGAATGCAGAGTTTGGACCCAAGATACATAAAACATTGCAGTTTGAAAAATCACCGAAAAACACTAAGACATTGGAGACTAGAAGGAATTCAACCTTTTTCTAATACCATACTGCATCCTATAGCATGGCAGGATTGTAATATGTATTGCATCATCGTCTATTGAAAAATAATGTGCTTAAGCTTCTTGTTTATGTTTTATGCATATGTTGATCTTTGAAACATTTTCTTAAAATTAAGATTCATGTATAAATAGTGTTGGATTACGAAAGTACAATTTGTGCTTATATACTTTTGAGCAATTATGTGAGCAGTATGGAAAGGCAGTTCAAATTTCTTTTTTGGCTTAATATTATGTTGTTTGGTACCTCAAGGATGAAGTCAGTTCCGTAAAAAAAAAACACATATCTTCTTTTCTCTTCTTTAGTATCTCTGATGTAGGAGTATTTGATAGCTTACTTTGTTACTTGTACGAGTTTGAACTGTGATATAAGAAGAAAATGTCTATCCACTCGTTGATTAGCCTTAGGTTTGCGACGTAATCCTTTGTTTCTTAGTTTCTTTGGCTAGGAATTTTACACCAAGTTAACAAAATTGATACTAGTGAATAGAGAGCTACACACTGTCAACAACTGGATATGAATCTTTTATTTTTCATTTTTCATTTTTCACTTTTAACTTTTCATTTTGTTGTGTGTTCATCTGTAGAGGTTTCTTGACTTTGAATCACTCATCAAAATCTGACCTCATTTAGAAGGGATGAAGCTTACATGGTGGTGGTGATTGCTTGGTATCCATATTAGTCAAACTATGAACATACCGTCAGCTTTCTGCATCTACTACCTCCCAAGTATCTAATTTACCACGTGCTTCTGAACTCATGTTATCCAGCCATCGTAGTATCCTGTGCAATTGCTTCTCGGTTAGATGATAATTCCCTACTAGATTAGGGGTTATAGTTAATGTTTTGTTGGGAGGATAACTCATTCCACAATTCCTAATTTAATATAAACTACCAACCATGTCTATAAAATCTGCCTGTAGTTCATGATTTTATTGAAGTAAGCATTCTAAACCATGATCCCTCATTGTCAGCTTCCGTTTATTTTCTTTCACAGCCTTAAGACATTTATGCCAATATGCTTTAAAAATGCATGATAAAATTACCTTTACCGAAGGTATAATATATGTTCTATGGAGATGATATGGCACTACAAATTGGAAACATACACAAAAGAGAAGAATTGTATCTGATACATGTATCTAACTGACAAGATGCTTCATGATTGAATTGCCGTGGTATAGAAGATCCTGAATGATTGAATTGCCTTGCTATTGAAGATTTAGTCATTGCTCGGTAATCATTGCATCTATATGATATACTATCTACTAAAAGCACACTCTTAATGAGACAATGTTTCATTTAATTTTAGTTTCTCCTTAATCAATCTTGCAGAGACATTTGGGATTGTGAGTAGCGAATAACTAACAAATGAAAATGGTGCTTATGCATGAGTCTGCTCCTTATAGATGCATTGTCATCTTAAAATTTGTTGGAATAGCCTGTATAAAATGGCTAGAAATTGAGCAAGAAAATTTTGATAACTTATCTGATCTGTTGTATTGTTGACTACTTGACTGTTTTATTGGTAGAGCTGATGTGCATCCTCGAACGCTGACCTTAAGGTGTTACTCGGCCTACATTGATACAATAATCCCAAGTTCAAACTACTTTTATGGACAATAGGCATAGTTGTTCTGTATGCATCCACCAACAACTCCAAAAAAATATGCAAGCCCACACAAGTAAAGAACTTTACCTTTTTAGAAGCTAGTAGGAGCAAAAGATGAATTAGGCCTGTAAGCCCCTCTTTATATAGGATTCTCAAAATTTGGTGCCCAAGAAACCTTAGTTTGCTTAGCAAGCAAACTAAGTTGGCTTCCTAGGTGGCTAATCGAGTGCCACTTGTCTCCCAAGTGACTTGATGACTAAGCCAAGCTAGTCAGACTTCTACACATTTCTAATGACGTGTAAAAGAAAAGTTTGAAACTTTTACACATTTCTAACAATGTCCACGAGTTTCAAACTTTTGTTTGGTTGCCTTTAATTTCATGTGCGTAATAAAGATCTGGCTAGGACTTGAATCTCCACTTAGACCAGTTGAAAAGTAGTCCCACCTCCCACGCAGGTGAACTAGTGTCTAGGTCTTGAACTAGCACTTTATCATGGTTTTTGCAAAGTCTTAGGTTCTACCCAGTAGATTCCTTAAGAGTAGGCCAAAAGTACACTTTGCATAGGTAAATCCTTAAGGAGTGCTCCTAACACACTCCACTTCAGAAGAGTTTGTATTTAAAGGCTTTACATAGCTAACCTCAAACAAGTGTGTATCTATAATAGCTTAGGTTTTGAACTTGGGTACCACTTTCACTTTTACTTCCTAATCCGTAACACGTTAATGGCCCTATGCTTTTGTTAAAATATCTACAAATACTTTAGGATCTGCCAGTAGATTCCCTAGGAGTAGGCAAAAAAACTCTACGTTGCATAGGTAAATTCTCGAAGCGTGCTCCTATCAGCACTCCACACCCTAAGTGTATTGGATTTGTTAGGACTTTTCATGATCCTCTACATGATAGGAGTACGTAGCACATAGCACATAGCACATTTTTAGTATTATTTCTGCAAAGGCTTTAGGATACACCCGGTAGATTAAATTGTAGGAGTCGGCCAAAACTCTACCTCTACATTGGTAAATCCTTAATCACATAGGCACCCGCACCTGAAATTCTTTGGATTTTTTAAGGCTTTAGAAAGACAACCTCCTAAATTATATGATTATGCACATGAAATTAGAGCCAACTGAAGGCAAGTTTGAAATTTGTAGGGGATTGTTGGAAATGTATAGAAGTTTTAATCTGGGACTCTACACATTGGTGGAAATGTGTGGAAGTTTTACTAGTTTGGCTTGGTCACCTAGTACCTACCACCAAGGAAACCAACTTAGTTGACTTGCCAAGCAACTCAAGTTTTGTTGGCCACCAAATTTGAACATCCTATATAAAGATGGACCTGGCCTCAAAGGGAGACATGGCTAATCTACTTTCTCCTTCTACAAGCTTCTAAGAGAGGAAAAGCCTTTGCTTGTATGGGTTTACCTATTCTCGTTTGGAGTTGCTGGTGGTTGCACACCAAACAACTCAGATTATTGTTCCAGGAAGTGGTTTGGACTTGAGATATTTGCACTGAAGTAAGCCGAATAACACTGTAAGGTCAATGTTCTAGGATGCGCAGTAGCTCCACTGATGCAACGTCAACAATAACAAGAAAAAGGAAAGTTTTTGTATTCTTCTTGCTCTTTCTGTCCATTTCATACCAACTATTCCATCAAAAACATGATTTCTCTATAAATTATTTACACCTTAATATTTATATCAAATATGTAATTAGATATTGAATCTTCCCCACTGAACTACCTGTCTTTCACACCTCACCGAATCAGATCATTTATAAGACTATCAGAAACCCCAAGCTAACATCAAATTATCTATTTGTTAATCTTATGATTATCGCTATCTTGTTATTTCCCTATTGAACTATTTTTGCCATCATGTTAATCTCCCATGCACTTATTTGGGTGATATTTGACATGCTTATGCTCTATTAGATATACTATTTTTCAGAATCTTTTATATTCCCATTCAATTTTTTTCATTCTTCCTGCTCACTAACAATGACACCTGGTACTGAATCACTGGTTCCTGTTAACTTGTGAACAAATGCTTTAAGGATTTGGATGGCATAGCTAGAAGGTAAGTCCTATGTACCCTAGGAAACAAACAGTGTGCTTGTAATAATGCAGTTGCTTGGATTTCCTAAACATCACTTCAATAGCAAGAAGTGTGTCATGGGATGAGAGGGAAAGGAAGAGAGCAAGGGGAGGTGTAATCATTTCAGACGCCTAATATCTACATTGTGATTATAGCTGCTAGCTCTAATTTTGTGCAGAAGGCAATTACTTATGACTTTTTATTTATTTATTTATTTATTCTATAGATGTTTTCCACATCCGTAATCATTATGATATTGTAGTATTGATACGGGTGTATCTTCTCTTTAGAACTTAGCAATCCTCATGAGAGCTTGAGGATAGATGATTCTTATGGTAACTTGAAAATAGAGATGTAAAACAACACAGTGGAACGCAGGTCGAAGCGTGGAACGAGGCGGCGAATCGAAGTATCCAGTTTTCAGCTCGTGAGTCGACTCATACATGCACATGAGTCGACTCATCAGGTTGAGTCGACTCATACCTGTCATGAGTCGACTCACGAAACCCAGCCGTTTTGTCAGAAGTTTCTGACCAGTCGACTCATGCCTGTCATGAGTCGACTCACGAAACCCAGTCGTTTTGTCAAAAGTTTTTGACCAGTCGACTCATCATTTTATGAGTCGACCCATGTGTCATGAGTCGACTCATATATGCACATGAGTTGACTCATCGATAGTTGTCTGGTTTGTTTGGGTTTCTGTTTGCACGAATTCCTGTGGGGTTTGGGCTTGATTATTTACCATTTTACCATCCACATTGTTACACCTATATAAGGGATTATTTTAGGATTTCTAATAA